CGACGTAGACGATGTATTCCTAGACCTCAAAATAATTTTGTATTATACAGAAGGAATTTTCATGCAGTTATTACTAAAGAAAGAGGTCATGCTGTAGCAAAAAATTTTAAACTTATTTCAAATGAAGCTGCTAAAAATTGGTCAGAAGAAAGTAATGAAGTTAAACAACTTTATGAATTAATAGCGGATTGTGCAAAAAAAGTTCATGATTGTACATACCCTCAATATGTTTATCAACCTAAACATAAATCTTCAAAAAAAGGGAATAATACAATATTTCGTGAAGTTACTATGGACACTTGTAAACAACGATCAGAAAAATCTAAATCTGATCGTAGTTCAAAAACTGAAAAATCACAAACTAAACCCGCAAAATCATCAACTAAATCAGCTGCTGCTTCCATGACATTGACCATGACAACTTTATCTTTAGATACATCACCTAAATCTTCATCAGAGTCATCGGTTACATCGTCTTTTAAATCATCACCTCAATCTGAACGAGAGGCATCAAAAGAATATCCACAACAACATTTAATTAAAGAGTGGCGTTGGGCTCATTACGGTCAAACGGATACACGTTCGGTTCATAATGAACAATACAAGATATCACCTCAATCACCAAAACAAATGCAAGGGGTTGAAAAAATTCCATTAATTCCTCCACCGCCACAATCTACGGTTACATCATTTCTTCCTCCTCCACTTGATATTCCTGTTTCTTCAAATTTTACAAGATATGATAAGAATGTATGGAGTTTAGTTAATGGATTAACCAATTTGTAAATACAATTCATTAACTATTTTGGTAATAAGGATTGAATTTTAAATTTTATTATATATAAAATAAAAAAAATATATATAGTTTTTTTTTTTTTTTTCGTGTCATTTACAATTCATAGCATTCAATTGTGAATTTCAATTATTAATGGTATGCAAAATCATTTGGAGAGAGAGACAACCCTTTTTTTTTTTTTTTTAACACTTGCAGAATAAAATTTTTTTTATTTTATTGTTTATTCGTTTTGTATTTGCTTTTTGGTATTTGTTGATATCTATTATATTTTTGGGTAGCAAAAAAAAAAAAAAAAAAAAAAAAAAAATCAAAAATTTTGTCAATTGCATCCTGAATTTTTTTTTTTTCCTTTTTTTTTTTTTTTTTTTTTTTGGAACGGATTAAGCAATTAACAATTAAACAACCTTTTTTGTAATTAATTAAAAATAATAAATAAAATAAAAAATCACAAAAAATAAAAAAAATTAATAAAAAAAAATTATTTAAATCACAATAAATGAATAATAAATGTGTCAATTTCTATAAAATATTATTTAAATCAATAAGAATCAATAAAAATCAATGAAATGAATAAAATGCTTACTTCTACAGTATACGTATCGTTCATTGCGGTAAATTTAGGTAACGCTAGATGTATGATGATCCGATTTACTCCGTACGTGACATGAAGTGAAGTTGTAAAATTTCATCCAAACAACATAAAATCGAAGATAAGTACACGCGATATATTAAAACCCCAAAAGATCAGTGTAACGTATCTATTTTTTTAAAGAAATACCGAAATCCCGAAGTAGATCTTTCTTAATGATATCTGTGTTTTTCTTAATTTGGCCTATACTACTATCGATTTACTACTATCGGTTATTTGTACGGATTTATTTCATGATAATAAAAATTTCACGTGTAGATAATTAAAAATGTAAAGCATTCTTTTCTTTATTAGTACTCTAGAATAAAAAAAAAAAAAAAATCAAGTAAATATGTTCGTTTGATAATCGATATCGAATGATGAAGATGGATTAAGTAGATTGTCTATGACCAACAATAGTTACAGTAACTCTAGTAACTACAGAGAATTTTTAAGAACTATTACAAGGTATTCAACATCACCTCTTATGTATCATATTATCCCATACTTCATACTTCAAACTTACTATTTAATGACGGTAAAACTTTTTTTAATTATCTCCACGCGCGCACGAATTTATATGCATTATCTTGCGTACATGAAACTAAATAATGATTTCTCACTTTGTAAAAATGATTTTGATATTCGATGTTTGTAGCATTAAAACTAGTTTATTAAAAGTTAATATGCATTACTATTTAAATAGTAAGGACAAAAAAAAAAACTCACCTTACTTTATTAATTTCCCAAATTACAATCAAACAATTAATGAGTTATTATAATTCATCATCCAAACTAGCAAATGATTTCCTACAAATCGCACAAATATCCTTAAATTGTTTAATATATTTTAAATAACACGTCATATGTAATAAATATCCACATCCTGGATTAATAATCATCCTACCATCACGTAATTATAATGATTCTAAACATAATAAACACTCTTCTTGTTCATCATTTTTATTATCTAAGTTTTAATTTTGAAAATGCATGTCTAGATGAAGAAAGAGTTGATCGATTGACGTAATGTGATGGGCGTAAAGCTTGAGATTTTTAAGTTCTGTAATAATGATAAAAGGTAAAGATCATTGAAGATAAATAATATTCGGAATGTTCAGGGTTAAATAATTTGCAATTTGCATATTCATATTCCATTGTTCTGTTGTCATATACCTAGACATGTGTCTTGTACTTGCATATTAAATATTTGAATCTTCATGTCGTGTTTGATTATCATTGTTATCAGATAAAGACTTTGTTTCATAATTAAAATTAGTCATAATCATCTTTATATCATCCTCGTGTATTGCGTGTTCTCCGGTATTTCCATTTCTATTTGTTACTTTAAGAATGGGTGAATAACTAGCTCTCTGCACTCTATTGTAATTTGGATTTTCATCACGAGAGGGCTAACGTTATTTTGACTATAATACGTATGTAGAAATTAATGTTAGTGGTGTTGGTGTTAAGGAATTAATTGTATTCGTTTGAGTCGATGTAAATTATTTCTTGATGTAATCATTGGCCGACTTTGTAAATTCTTATAAATAAATCGTTTAATAAGGTTAATTAGAATAACCGTTAGTGATCGTTGTTCTATTAATGGTCGTCTTAAATCAGCGCACTGTTATTGTAACGGGAAGAAATCGTGTCTTGTCGAAAGATATATCTTTGTCTCATTACGTAGCTGCGTTGAGATGGAACTTGTGGATGATAAATTATACGCAATTCATTTCCCATGTTATATATATAATTTTTATTAATCTTCCAAAATTCTTCTTTTTCAACAATTTCTTTAAAAAAACAATCGAAGTTATCAACATCAAAAATTTTTTTAATATTATGATTATGATGCAATGATTATATCATTAGGTATTAAGTAGTTTTTACGTACAATTTTACTGTGTAAAAATTACAAAATTGGTCCGGCTTCAAAAATAATTTACCCATATACATATCAAAAAAAAAAAATCAACAGAAAAATCATACGATCGTTTATTATATTTAGAATTAAACCAAATTCAAATTCGAGTTAGTGATAAAATAACCTAATTAGTTTACTTATTATTACAAATATAGTAAACATCAAATATATTCTTGCTCTTATCTCGCTTGATTATACCTGTATATCTGAATGAAATATGCAATAGTATTAAATGCCATTTTTTCATTAGAATTAGAAATTCATTTCAAAAAAAGTTAGACTTTTAAAATTAAAAGTACTTTCTTTCCTAATTTACTAATGAATTATTAGTTATCTAAATTTGTTTATTTATTAAAATTCGTCATAATCTTTTTTTTTTTATCATACGTATTGGTTAAATACTTTATCCAGAAAGTTAAAAACACTAACGGAAAAAATTTCGGTTTATTATTAAAATCATGTGACAGGAGTTTTAAAATTTTATATTAATTAACGTTAAAGCCGAATATAGAAGACTTTCAAATAATAAGATTTTTATAAAAGAAATAATCAAAATTTTATTTATTCAAATTACTTATTAAAAGTATTGGTTTACTAAACAAATTAGAATATTTAATGTCGCGGCTGATGCTTGAAATCAGGGATTTCGATTTAAAAATATAAACTACCAAAATCTACTTATACTCTTTTATTATTAAAACTAACTCTAAACCCTAATCTAACTATGAAAAAAAGCTAACAAAATGCACCCCAAAAAATTTTTGAAAATTTCATATTAAATTAATTAAAATTTTAAGCATCAGCCGTGACATTTAAATATTTTTTTTTTTTTTGAATTTGGATAAGTTAATAGAAATCAAACAAATTGTTTTTATTAATTTTTTTTTTAAAACTTTAAACAACAATAACTTAAAAAAACTTCATTAAATTTTAGTATAAATTTGATAAAGTTTTGTTGAAATATATTTATTTAAAGTTTTAAAAAAATTTATTTAGAAAAAATTTGTTTGATTTTTGGGTTCAAATACACTACGGCGGGTACTAATGCATCGGATAGTCACATTCCGTAGATCGTTAATCAAACATCACTTCGTACTAACCAAATATTTTTTATTTGTTTATGTATTACAGATGAACATTAGTCACGACATAAATATTTATATATTCTTTATTTAATAAATTGATAGTTTAAAATATAGTATAAAAAAAAATAAAATAATCCAATCCAAAAATTAATCTTTTCAATCTTAATAAAGATCAAATAAATCATTTTTAAACTTTTAATCATTACTAATAAATACAAATAATTTTAAATTTCATATCTTTCGAATTTTTTTTTTTAATTAATAATTATTTCAAAAATCTAGATTTTCTCATTAAAGCCACAATTCTAAAAAGAATTCCTTAAACATGTTATACAAGATATTTTATATATAAATAAAAAAAATAATTATCTTAAATATTTACTATATTCGTAATTATTAATTTATAATAAATAATCATGTATATTTTTAATTTAAAACACCCCATTTTTGGGGAATTGTACATAAATACAAATTGTAGATCTACTTTCGATAAATAATATAAAAGATTTATTATAAATATGTCATGATTCTATTTTTTTTTTAATATGTATGAAATTAATAACCATGTCTAAGAAATCTAAAAAATTCCTCAATTCTAAATTTCAACTTCAAAGAGAACAACATGGTTTTGAATTACAAACCCAACGAAATAATCAAAAACATCAAGAATCTCTGATAAGAATACAATCCGAAACTGATATCGAAGAAAAAAAAAATCAAATCTCAAGAACAAGAAAACGAAAAAGACCGAATTTTTAAAAGGGAAGAAAATGATAAGCATCATATTTCTATGAAAGAAATTGAATCTATGAAAATTAAATCTAAAGAACATATTGAAGAACAAAAACTCATATTTCAAGAACAAGAAAATGAAAAGGATAGACGATTCCATATAGAAATGATTAAATATTGTGGTGAAATCATAAAATATATAATTGAAAAACATTTTGCTTGGGTGTTTTTTACTAGTTTACTTCACATCTCTATATATTTTTATTATGTTTCAAATAATAATAAAATTGATAATATAGGACTTTACACATATACTGGTATTTTTACATTGATCATTATTTCCTATGCAAATTCGATTCGTGAATTTTTTCAAATGTTGCCAACTATTGTTCCAATAATCACTAGTTTTTTTAATAGAAATAATAATCAATAATTATTTACTTGAATATTTAAGTTTTTTTAAATTTAAGATACATAAGATTTTAAATAAGTATTTAAACATATGATTAAATCTAAAAAATATGATTGAATAAAATATAATAAATCTAATATATATTATTATGAGCTTTTTTGTTTTTTTTTCTAAGCTAATCCGACAGTATCTTTTTAATTTATGAATAAAATCAATAACTTATTAGTAATTTTAATATTTTAATTTGTAATATTTTTCTTTCTTTAAAAAATATATCTATTATGAATATTTATAATTTTAAATATTTTTAAATTTTTATATTTGAGAGATTCTCTAATTAACTCTTCTTTAGAATTTTTATGTATATCACACAAACTATTTTAAAATAAACTAAATTATTCATTTTCTTCATTATAGATAAAACAATACTTTCATTAAGAAAACAATCGATTAACGTAAGATTTTCAAGATTATATAATTTAATAGCCTCTTCATATATACTAACATCACAATGATATTCCGATACAAGTTTTGTAATATTAGTTAGTTTATTAAAGAAATTTATATTTTTTTTGATAATTTTTTCATCAATAAAAATTTTATTAATCTTCGATACTTCAAATAATAAATCAATTACAAGAGTTGTGACCAATTCTGATTCAAATATTTCTATAATTTTATTAGTATCTATTTCTTTTATGAGCTCAAGATATAGAAAAAGGGTTGGTTCATATATTTTACTTGGAAAATAATCTTTTAATACATGTTGAAATTATGATAAATTATTCGTTTAAATGAATCATATCTGAATGGATTTTCTACAATAATGGGATAATAATATTAACCAAGCATATCTTGTAAAAAAAGATATAATGATGATTGATAATTCGATCGTATCTGTCTAACAAAATATTAATTTAACTGCTTTTAAATTTTTAACTTATTATTGGCTTACGGGACAATTTTATTAAAGAAACCTTCATCTGAAGGATATTTTATTTAATAAAATTTAAAATAATAATACAAAAAAAATTACGATTTTGTTAAAATTGAATAAAAAAAACTTTTCGATATATTTTGATAGTTTATCTGAAGAAAATTAAAAATTAAAAGCTTATTTCATTTAATTTTATAGCTGAATTTCATGTTACAAATTTATATAAAATATATTAAATTTGAATCAATCGTAATATGGAATTATAAAATTATTTTATTATGAAAATCGATAAATTTGTATTATGAAATTACTAGTATTTTAACTAGAAGAACAATTTTACTTAATACGCAAAATCGAGTTTTATAATAAAATTTTGTATAAATTGAGTATCGTTACAATCGATTTTTTTATAATATTAAAGACAAATGTAAGGAATTTTATTAAATCAATATCATGTGATTTTACAAATTTAAAACATGTGATTAAGATCTAATAAATAAAATAACCAATTGAAATTAAACATGTATAATAATCGATTTTAATTAATCGAGTATAAAAATTTAAAAAAAATATGATTCGAATATATTTTAGTTTTACTCTATATATTTTTATCAAGAATTGAAGTTAGTAATTTATATTATTTTTTTCTTTGTTTATTATAAATAAAATTTTATTTTTAATTTACATGTTTTAATAGTAAATATGCCACAAATTCTGGATAATTTTTTATTTTTTTATTACTCGATTATCTACGAATATTTATTTTTTTCGGCTTAATTTTCATATTATTATGATTTTTAAAGAAGGTAATAAATATGTTCGTGCTTCAGAGGATTTATATAGATGTTATAATGGAGAAATAAGATTATCAGCTTTAGAAGATAGTTTTGGTTATTATTATGATGTTACTCATTGCAATAATTTAAAGATTTATTATTGTAAAAGTAAAATTTTTGAAGGAAATTTTCAGAATTTTTAATTATTTTTTTTTAATATAAATATTAAGAAAAAATTTCATTATAAATTAAAGTGATTTTATGGTTTTTAAATCGTAAATATTTTAAAAGAATTAATTTTTTAACCATGAATTTTGTTATATAATAATTTGTATTTTCTGGTTTTGGTTTTAACCAATGTTGATCATTGTATGAAGGTAATATACATTCTGATACATGATTAAAAGTAAGTATTTTATGATTGGTTAATGTATTTATTATTATTATTTTTAAATAATCATTTTCCAAGTCCAAATATAAATTGAAACAATATTTTTCAAATTGAGATTTAAAAATATAACTTGGGATACTGTATTTATATTTATGAATATAAATATTTTCATAAATAAGAATTTTTTGAAATAGTTGATAATTTGAATATAAATATATTATATATGATGATATAGGATAGTTAATTTGAAGAGTTTTTTTATTAATTATTAAGTTAAATTTTTTATTATAAATTGTATCTATTAAATTTAATTCAAATAGATTTTTTGGTATATCATTTATATTACATTGGATTATTAATGTTAAATCAAATATTAGATTTTCTATGATTTTGTAAAACATAAAACATATTAATTTAAGGTTTTTAATTTCTTTCCAATTGTTTATAATAAAATATTGAATTATAATATTATAGATTTCATATGAAAAGATCATTTTTTTTTTCAGATTATTGAATAATTTAATGATATTTATATTTTTTTGTGCAATACAGACAAATAATGTAAATAATTATTGTATGGTAAATCTACATCTATTATGACTATATCCATGTCCACCCCAACATTCACTAGTTTTAATTTTGATATTATTATTATTATTATTATTATTATTATTATTATTATTATTATTATTATTATTTTCGAGTATTTCGTATTCTATAGATTTTCAATATGAATATGTATCATATGGAATATTAAATTTTAATTTTATCTGACAGATTTTTCTTAATATATAAAATTGCAAAGATTAATATTTTGTATATGATTTTGTTAATATTTAAAATATAATTACCTATCAATATTTTCGTCAAGAACATCATAGGTAAAATAACCTTGTACACCAGAAGAACTATCATCTCTACCTTGTATAGCTTTAACTATATTTATTGATTTTGTGATTAATAATTAATAATATAAAAAAAAAAGATATATTTAATATACCAGATATTTGATTTGGATATATTGTTAAGCAGTTTTCTGTTTCGTATTTCATTCTACCCCATTCAAAATATCGATGTTGTGGTTTTAATATATAATTAATACGATTATCTATTTCGATAATGCAACTGACACAAAAACCCATGACGATTTTTAATAAAACAAATTAAATGATAAATTTATTAAATATTAATTTATTAAAATTTGAGAAAAATAATTTTATTTATAAGAAATAAGAAGAATAATTATATTTCACTATTTACAATATTCTGAGTATTTAATGATGTAAAGTTTTTGAATTATTTAATTTTTATTTATTTGATTATTTTCCTTTTTAATAATAATCATTTTTTTAGAATTGATCATAATATTTTTAGGTAATAGAATTTGAACATTTTCACAAATATATTTAAATTTTTTATTTTTTTGTTCAAGATTTCTATTTTGGATATTTGAATTGAATATGTGTTCAATACCAGCACCAAAAACTCCACCAACACCAGCACCAACACCACCGCCGATAATTGAACCAAAGCTAGATCCAAGTGAACCACCTACAGATCCAATAACTAAACCAAGACCTCCACCAACTATAGATCCAGCAGCAGCACCAATTTCACCTAATAATCTTTCTTCTGCATTTATTTTTTTTTTATTAAAATTACTAGACATATTATTTTTTTTTATTTTATCCAAATTATATTTCTATATCTATATTTATAATATTTTTTTTTCCAAAACTATTTTTAAACTCTATTCTAAAGAAAAAAAAATATTATAAATATAGATATTATTGTTAGCTTTGAGTTGATAAAAAAATATGATGTTTTAAATTCAAATTTTGAAATTAATTTTGATTTTATTAGATTGAATATAAGTTAAATAATTAATTAAGTAATATCAAATGGATAATAAATCAAGATCCAAATTTATGTTCGCATTAAACACAGAAGAAAAAATCAAAAAAATATTTGATGATATCGATATTGAAAAAAATAATATGGTTACACCTTCTGAAATTAAAAAATATTTAAATGATGATACAGATTCTATAAATATCATATTCGAAAGTAGAAACATCAAATCTGTAAACTTCAACAATTTTAAACATTTTATCAATAGATATTATTATACATATTTCAAAAATATATTAGGTGAAAATTATTTATTCAATACAGAGGGTAAAAACATATTTGATAATGATAAAAATATATATTATTAATATATAAAAAATTTTCTCAAATTATTTTTTTTTTAATATTAAAGAATCAAATAAAAAAAAAATGTTTTATAATTTTGAATAGAATTGGAATTTATCTTTCAAGACTAAAAAAATATAACATATCTGATAAACGAATGAAAACTACTTTATTTAACCTAGCTTCATTTTTTATAATTGCATCATCTTGACAAATTATAACTAATTTTTTTCCCCAATTTCTACCTAATCTTCTTATTAATATCGAAATTATTGATTCAACATGTATTTTATTAATATTCTTTGCTTTGATTCCACGAATTATTATTCTTTTATATCCACCTCCTACATTGAAAAGCAACATCATTAGTAAAAATTACTTTTGAATCAGCAATCATCATTCGGGTGCAGGAACCCGGTTTCTGTCAAATATTTGAGAAGGATGTTTCTAGCTCCGTTGAAATCCCTGTCATAAACATAACCACAATCTTTGCACTTGAACACTTTTGATGATCCTAATTTATCATTTATGATTCTACATACACCACACGTCTTGCTAGTATACTCTTCGGTACACTCAACAATATCTGTCATGTATTCTCGTGATTTATGTCTCAAGAAATAAAGGAATGTTCGTGGTGACCATCCAATCATACGTTTTGTCGTCTCTTTATTTATCTTTCTTTTTTTATTCTTTTTTTCTATCATGTCTTGAATAGGATAATTTGGTATCAAGATCTGTGAATGATGTTCACATAAGTATTTTGCTGTCTTGTGATGACAATCATTAATCATGTTTCTAATCTTTTCATATGTCCTCTCAGAAACATCCTTCTCAATTACATCTTATACATATTTAATTAATAATATCACTCACCATTACGTAAATGTACAGAGATTAATGAGATACTACAAGATAAATGAAAATAATGAGATAATCTATTAACTAATAAGATATCATCTATATTATTAATACTTACAATATTATTGTACGAATAAAATATATTTTAATCATATCTTGTTAGTGATAAATATTATATGTATCAGTAATTTTTATATTAATATGTTTTGTTTTACCTGCTCGATTTCCAAAAATAACTACACCATAATCAATATTATCAATGTAATTATGAAGAGGATAAACTTCCACATACGATTTTTGTCCAATAGAATCATTTAATATTTGTATTATTTCTCGTGAAAAGGTATTATGTTTATTTGCTAAAGTTATTGTATTTATTTCTTTAAACAATAAAAATAAAAAAAAATAAAATATAATTTTATTCATTTTGATATAAATTTAATTTATTGAAAAAAAAAGTATTTAAAAATCTTAATACATAAATTTTATTTTTTTTTATTTATCGATAAACAATATTTCTTATTTAAATACATAAAGAATAACAATAAATCTTATCATAATTTTACATATTTTTTTAAAAAAAATAATAATTATTTAAATTCGAATTTACAAGGACCATTAAATTTAATTGAATTGGGACCATCAAATTCAAGCTTATTATTTCCATAATCATAAAAATCGATACTTTTAATATGATCTTTTAAATAAAAAGGAATTTCTCCATTGTTATTTTCTGGAATAATTTCGACACAATCATTAACTGAAAGAGTAACTTCTTCAGATCTTTCGATTTCATTCATATATTGAGAATCTTTAATTACCGAAGAAAGAATTTGATTAGTTCCGTATTGAGCTTCATCAAAGATTTCTTCATAATCTTCTTGAAATGTTTGTTCTTGAATAATTTTTTTTGACTCATTTCTTTTTTTCTTCTCTTTACCCTTTCCTACATTATAAACTTTGATATCATTCCAAATTTCCTTATGATGGAATCTATAATGATTTTTTAAAGTTGTGATACGTGTATTTTTATCATAACTCCTAGAACATTTTATACATACAAGTTTATTATTATTTTTAGGATCGGGATCGAAATAATCATTAATAGCATGAAATTTAGACATTTTAAAATATTTCGATAAGAATACTAAAATTAATTCAATAATCTTATATAGTAAATTTAATTATTAATATTTTATTAAATAATTAAATTTTTTAAATAAATATTGATGAATTATTTATGCATTTAATTATTTCTATATTAATATTATTATTAAAATCAAAGTTATTGATAATCAATTAAATTTTATTTACTATAACATTATTTAATAATATTTATATAACGAATTTAAAAATTAAAATATCTTGTCTTAATCCTTTAATAATTTATACAATATTTTTAAGGTTTCGAAAAGTTAAATAAATTTAACTATAAATATTAACTTTATTTCAAAAAAAAACTAAACTTCGAAATTCTTAAATGAAAAATATGAAAAAATCAATTTATCATTATTTTAACAAGTTAGATGATCTGGAGATACTATCTTCAAATATTTACAAATTCAATACAAAAACTTTAAATAAAAGAAATATTAATTTTACATATATCTGTGATGATGTAAAAATGGTAACTGTAAATGGTTATGAAATCAATTGTGAAAAATTAATCATAA